TGACGTCACCGACAGCATCATCTACGACTGGTTTCTGACCCACAACGCACCTCCCGTGTTCATTACCCCAGCCCGAACCGCCAACGGACAACAATCACGCAATAGGAGGGTCTACTTTAACCAGAAAGAGCCCCCGCGGCTATTATGACCGGAGGCAAAGAGCCGCTACGCCAGATCCAGTTCACTGCGTCTGGCTATTGTGTTGTCAGTCACCGTATTTAAGCCTATAATAAGAAGACCCCACCGTTTTATCCGGAACGGCGCAAGAACAAACCCAGCGAAGACGTATTGGCTACAAAAGAAAGCAGTGACGCTCTCACTCAGGGGTGCAATCAACCATCCCAGATGAGGCTGAAGGCGACTCAGATGACGATATGGGATCGGACTCTGATATAGCCTCGTTGTCTGTCAGACCGTCCTCGATGTGGAACTTCAAATAACAGATGACATCCATCCCCATTCCACCTCTCCCAGATGTATGCAATGCGTATCGTCTGATCGAGAAGAGCAAGAAGGTAAGATTCCCATCGGTACCAGCGGATCAGACACTAGTCTTTCTGCTGCCACCATCTCAAGCCAGCTATCCACTATTCGCGTCTCACAATGGGTATGAGTGGATTACGCTGGGCTCGGAAGAGGCGCCTATTTCTCCGGATATAAACGTCATCCTCCATAATCAAGATCGTTCGCCTATTCGATCGCAAATAACCCAAGTGGAAGGTCAGATCGAGGTGCAGCGCACAACCATTGACTACAACGTTGAATCGATGTCAGCTGAGAGGCTGTGCAGTTACATCCAGGAGTTTCTTAAAAATTTTGAAGAAGAATCCAGTCCCGAGATGAACATAGTCGCGGTCAAAAGCCAGCCAAGTCATTTTAGGCCGCTTCATGACACGAGCATCCCGAGCAACTACAAGGTGATGATGGGCAAGTTCTACGGTCAAGCCTTGCTACGGACAATAAGCTCACAGGGAACTGCTACCAGAACTCGAGACATTCGAAGACAAGATCCAAGCTGTGTTCAACCCCAAGACCCCGAAGATTACCAGACCTTGCTCATACAGTGTCTCAACCATAATCAAGCGCTTTTCTGGCAGCAAGTCTGGATCGCCGAGTTCGATTTATTGTTATGGCCCCAAGCATCTACTCCGACCCATATAAAGTGTGTGCGATTTCACAGGCTCCAGCCCAGAGACTTCAGCATATACTTTGGTTATTATGGGATGATACAACGCTACTCAATTTACTTCGGTCCAAACCAATGAAAAAATTGGCTAATAAGCGTCTACCAAGTGAGCTTTTAACCTCGATCTGCGAGCTGCACAAGGCCCTCTTCCCCAGCCCGCCTTCTCTCTAATGTAGTCTGGGCCCTACGGGGCTACTCTATGAATGTGAACGGGTTTAACCGAGTCACTCAGAGTACACTCAGCTTCTTTTCATCCAAGTTTCATATGATCGCATTGCAAGAAACCAAGTTCACCAACCCAGCTAGCCGCAAGCGTGCGGACTTTTTGTGGAGAAAGACCTCGAGCTTCAATATCGCATTTTCGTCCCACGACCATTCCAACATATATACCGGGCAGGCGGGAGTAGATATTTACTCACCCCTACCTGTCCGGTCCAAGATATTCAAGATATCACGGAAACCCAAGTGAGTGACCCAGACACTCTCTCACGGTATCTCGTGCTCAAAGGTTCACTCGATGGATCTCCAGCCTATATACATGCAGTGTACGCCCCAGAAAACCCATCCGACCGACCGAGCTTCTTTGATAGTCTCCCCCGACAATTTGAAGATAATGCCATACATTTAGCTCTCGGAGACTTTAATACCGTCTTTTCGACCCAGCTCGATCAAGTCCACACCATTAGCAGAGCCCGTCGCGAGGGCCGTCATGAGCTCCTGAAGTAGATGCAGGCTCTAAATCTTTTTGATGCTTGGCGCCTGCAAAACCCCCATGTTCGCGAATTTACTAGCCCAAACCGAAGCGCTCGCATCGACTTCGTCCTATTAGGTTCCGATATATTCAACCGGCAGCTCAAGCAACTCAAACATGATTGGAAGCACCAGCCCAATAAAGCCGACCACTGCGGAATCGAGTTCACCCTCGGTTCCGCACCATTCAAGCCAAGAACAAGAGCACCGTGGAGATTCCCACGCTGGGTCATCGAAATTCCCGAAGTCCAAGAATATCTGAAATTGTCCCTGATGAAAATGGCAGAAACAATTGACCCGAATATTAAGTCGACTTTTAATCCAGGATACATGCCCGACGAACACAGGCGCCAAGACTGCATCTACTTACGTCAGCTATTCAACGATAAAAAGAACAAGCGGCAAATCAGGAAAGAAGATCCACACCTTCGCATCAATCACCTTCAGCACCTTCAGCATCTCAACCCGTCTGGCGAAATATCAACAACCCTAAGCTCGCTCCAGCAAGCCTTACGAGCACATATTGAAGAAGAAGATAATCACAAGCCCAGACAAAAATTTGCCTCTGATCTATACCAGACAGAAAAATGTACCAAGTACTTTTTTCGACCTCCTACGCTCTTGCACAAGACCACTACCCCAGTACAATCGGCAGAAGACTTACATTCTGTATGCGAAGAATTTAATAAGTACTTAAGTGGTTTCTATTGCTCGCCATCTCGTGAGTACTCCCATCCAAAGCCAAAGTGGAACCCGCTCAAAGTATCAAGAATCCTCCAGCACACCACGACAAGATTAGAAGAAGAAGACCAACACATGCTTGATAGTCCGTTCACTGCGAACGACTTCTACTATGCACTGAAACACACCACACCGAGCAAGGCCCCTGGTCCAGATGGTCTACCGTTTGCGTACTACCTAGTGGATATTCATCTCTGGAGCAAGATACTATAAGTTTTATACTCGTCTCAATTCCAATTCGGCAAAATGACCAAGTTCCAGAGAAGAGGACAGATCTCGCTCCTATACAAGAGCGGTGACCGACAAGTACCCAGTAACTATCGGCCAATCACGCTATTGAATATTGACGCCAAGCTCGGACCAAAAATCTTATCTAAAGGGCTACAGTCAATTTTACCCAAGTTGCTCCATACAGACCAATATGGCTTTGTCCCAGGACGTGATATTCGTTCTGCGCATCTCCGGTTCCAATCTCTCCAACATCTCTTCCAAAGCAATCAAGAAATGGCAGGAGCACTCCAACTCGACTTTGCTAAACCCTTTGACAGTGTTGTGTGGGATGCACTCGAGATGATACTGAGGCACTTTGGGTTTGGTCCCAATTTCCGGGAATGGATATGGGTAATAATTAGAAGCACTATTGTATCGATTCTCTTCAATGGTGCTCCATTGCCTCATTTCGCACTGGGCGCAGGAGTTCGGCAAGGTGATCCACTCTCGCCGGCGTTATTTGTACTCTACATTGAACCGCTATTGAACTATCTCCGAATCCAGCTCAAGCCCCACGGTCTCAAGCTATCAGCTTCAGAGGAACCACACACAGTTATCAGCTTTGCAGATGACTGTACAACGCTTCTCAGTGATCTCTCTGTTGTTCCTCAGTTTCTACAACGTGTCCAAGAGTATTGCTCGGCAGTGAGTTAGAAAT